GGGGGGGGGGGGGGGGGGGGGGGGGTCCCGAGGGGGTCCCGTGGATCGGCTGGGACCCCTCCCCTGACCCCCGGCGTGTCCCCGGCAGCTGCCTGGTGAAGGTGACGGGGGAGCTGACCATGTCCTTCCCCGCCGGCATCGTGCGCGTGTTCAGCGGCCCCGCGGCGCCGCCCGTGCTCAGCTTCAGGCTCCTCAACGCCGGAGCCATCGAGCAGTTCCTGCCCAACGCCGAGCTGCTCTACAGGTGCGGGGACACCTGGGGACACCGCGGGACTGCGAGGGGACAGCTGGGGACACCGCGGGGATACCGCGGGGACACTTCGGGACATGGCGGGGACACCCCGGGACACGGCGGGGATACCGCGGGGACAGCGAGGGGACACGGCGGGGACACCTCGGGGATACCGCGGGGACACCGCGGGGACACCGCAGGGATACCGCGGGGACACTTCGGGACATGGCGGGGACACCCCGGGACACGGCGGGGATACCGCGGGGACACTTCGGGACACGGCGGGACATCTCGGGGCACGGCGGGGATACCACGGGGACACGGTGGGGACACGGTGGGGACGCGGAAGGGACGCGAGGACATCGCGGGGACACCGAGGGGACACGGCGGGGACAGCGAGGGGACACCTCGGGATACCGCGGGGACAGCGAGGGGACACGGCGGGGATACCGCGGGGACACGGCGGGGACAGCGAGGGGACACCTCGTGACACGGCGGGGACACCTCGGGGATACCGCGGGGACACGGCGGGGACACCGAGGGGACACCTGGGGACACCGCGGGACAGGGCGGGGACACCTCGGGACATGGCGAGGACAGCGAGGGGACACTTCGGGACACGGCGGGACATCTCGGGGCACGGCGGGGACACCACGGGGACACTGCGGGACGGCCTGGGGGGGAGCGGGGGCCGGGGTGGGGGGCTGCAGGGGGTGTCGGGGGGGCACAGGGGTCTCGGGAGGTGATGGATGCAGAGATAGGGGCGGGTTTTGGGGTGTCGGGGAGCACAGGGATTTTGGGAAGTGATGGATGCTGTGATGGGGGCGGGTTTTGGGGCACGGAGTGTCCCTGCTCCCCTGGGGATGCCCTCTGGAGCTGAGGGATGCAGAGATGGGGAGCCGAGTTTTGGGATTTTGGGGTTCCAGAGGGTCTGGGTGTCCTGGGGATTGCAGCGAGGGGGAACCGAGTTTTGGGATTTTGGGATTCCCGAGGGTCTGGGTGTCCTGGGAATTGCAGCGATGAGGAGCCGAGTTTTGGGATTTTGGGATTCCCGAGGGTCTGGGTGTCCTGGGAATTGCAGCGATGAGGAGCCGAGTTTTGGGATTTTGGGGTTCC